TGTTAGAAGAAGTACAGCCAGAGTGCTCCTTGGAAACCAGGATGGCCACACTTCAGCTCTCTTACTTCGGACATACTGTCCAGCAGGGCCTAGTACATGGAGAAGAATATCATGTTTGGTAACGTGGAGTGTCAGAGAAAAAGAGGAAGCCCCCCCTAAATAGATGGATTGGCACAGTGGCAGCAGCAGTGTGCTCAAACATAGCAATAATTGTTAGGTTGCCACAGGGTCACTATGAGTCCATATGACCGATGGCACCTAACAAGTTTGTGTTTACAGTTTTCTCTCTTATTCCATCCATCCCAATTCTGGTCTTCAAAGTCTACCTTAATTTCTTCTTTATTAGTGAAACTGTTGTTGACCATTTCAGTCTATTCTGTAATAATTTTCATTGCCTCTGAATTCCTTATAGTTCATAGTTCTATACCACTCAACTTGCAATTAACTCTGTATTGTCTTACAATCTTGTTTATGTTTCTTCTGTTTTTGTTAAGTGCCATTGAGTCAGTTCCAATGGATACTTACTTACCCTGTATAGTGTTTCCAAAGAGCAGCTGGTGAGTTTGAACTCTTGAGCTTGTAGTTCAAACCACCTTTTGGTTCAAACCAGACCAGAACTCCATATTTCTGTAGGAGTATTTAGTGTCTGCTTTTTAACTTAAGTTTGTGTTTTCCTTCTTTCTGATCTGCACCTTAGCAACTGAGGGATGTCTGTCTGTGTGTTCCTGTTGTGTGCTGCAAGTTAGCGGCTTGATACCTAATGATAATAGCATTTAGGTATCAATATATACCATGCTGTGTATATGTTGTTGTTAAGTGCCATCAAGTTGGTTTTAACTCATAGCGACCCTGTACTGTATAACGTTTCTGAGGAGCAGCTGGTGAGTTTGAACTGCTGATCTTGTGGTTCAAACTGACCTTGTAGTCCAGTACATTTTCCTAAGGGGCCATGTCTGGACTCCAATGTTATACTTATAGTCGATGTAAATGTCTGCCGAATAAATGACATGAACTAGAAAAAAAAGTAAATATATGGGAATTTGAGCAATGCCATAGAAAGGGTTGTATTGCGTTTCTTGTCAAACATGACAAGTGAAGGAGGTCTGTTCATTTCATTGGTGTGGTGGTGGTGGTTAATTATGTGCTGTAGAGTTGGGTCTGACTCATCGTGACCCTGTATAGGGTTTCCGAAGCTGTAAATCTTTATGGGAGCAGAAAGCCTGGAGTGACTGGTACATACAAACCACTGACCTTGTAGTTAGCAATCCAGTTTGTAACCCACTAAGATACTAGGACTTTCTTTCCATTTATATTGTTGTTATTAAGTGCTGATTTATAGTGACTGTGTGTAGTGTTTCTGAGGAGCAACATGGGATTGTACTGCCCACCTTGTGGTTCATTGTCAAGTGCTGATCCTATAGCACCACACCAGGAGTCCATCCGTGATATAGTTACTGAGTAACAGTAATTATATCAAAATAATGTTGCCTTTTAGCAATTCAGTAGATTACAGCATATAAATAATATTTAATTACAATTTTATACAGAACCCTCAGTTGCTCAGTGTATTGTCTTTACTCTGTAGAAGCATTGACTGTGGCCCTAATTTATTTAGGCTTGTTTGTTTATAGGGCATCTGAAAGATAGATACTGAATTTTGCTTCTCTAAAGAAATAATCGGGGTCCTGGTATGGTGCTGTGGATTAATGCGCCAGACTGCAAATCCGTTTGAACTGCAAGCTTGGCAGTTCAAGTTCCCCAGCTGCTCCTAGGAAACTCTACACAGGGTCACTATGGGTCAGGATCGACTCGTCGGCACTTAACAACAACAGCAACAACAAGAAACTATCAGGTATCTTACAGGTTCTCTAGAGAAGCAAAATGAGTGAAGCTTGTATATATGTATACAAAGAGAAGTTTATATCAAGGAATCGGCTCACACATGTATAGTTGGGCAAGTCCCAAATCTTGGGTCATATGTCAAGCTGGAGGCTTCTGACTCATGTATTTGCAGGGCCAATGAACCAAGATTGACTGGTCATGTGGCATGCAGGCAAGTTGAGTAGGTAAAGTTTCAGGCTGCTGCTGACCCAGTTTCAGCAAGCTATAGAGAAGGCTACTGGCTTAAATCCTAGGAACAGAAGTTGGATGATGAGCCCGATAAAGGATCCAGACCCAACAGAAAGCAGCAAGCTTTGTCTGACTGTCCAGTGTATTGGAATTAGGCCACACTCCAAAGGAAACTTCCTTTCAATTGATGGGCTAATCATAGCAGATATCATCTTGGAGTTGATTACATTGTATTAGATCTCATCATGGTGGATGATTGATTATATATCAGTTGCCAACCACTGAGATTCCTGGCACTGTCATGTTGATACAAAAAATCTTAACTGTCACATCAGATAATACTAGGTACCTTGCAGGATTGAAGATGTAAATGCTCTCAGTGTCCACAGAAGATAAATATTTTAAACAATTGAATATGATAAGAAATAGGTGCATGTGGAGTCCTGGAGTGATGCTATAGGATAAGCACTAGACTGAAAGGGTGATTTAAACCGCAAGGTCATTGGTTCACTCTTACCAGCTGTTCCTCAGAAACCAAGGGTCACTATAAGTTGGACCCAACTTGACACAACAATGCAGAGTATTTATATCCTACTTAAGTTGTTTGTTTATAAAATATATTGATTAGCATTAGCAAAATGAAAATGTCTTGGCCTAGACACTAGAGTGGATTAAAACTGATCATATTCTTTGTTGCTATCATTGAAATATAGTTCCTGGTGCATACTGGAAAAATAATTTGATTAAAATTTGGGTTAAGATGAACTATGCAGATGGGGTTGTTGTTGTTCAGTGCTGTCGAGTCGATTCTGACCCATGGCGACCCTGTGTAGGGTTTCCAAGGAGCAGCTGGTGAGCTTGACCCACTGAACGTGCAATTCAAACGACTTTGCAGACTGACACATTAGCCCACAGTGCCACACCAGGACTCCTACAGATGCGGTAGCACTTTAACTTTTTTTTTTTTTAATGCTTTATTGTGAATTATATGATAGTTTACATGGGAGAACTTTAGTTTTATATTCATTTCATCGTATATCATCTCACTGCCATGGTTCCAATCCCCTCCATGCATCCTCTACCACCAAAGGGTATATCCCAGAAACCCGCTCTGTACACTTCCCCCTCCTTCCCCCAGTTTTCGGCCCACAGTCCCTTTCCCTCTCTGGGTCCAAAGTCCCCAGTCGCTTCATCACTCCATGTCATCATCTCTGTCTCTATCTCAGGCATCTCTGTTTCTCTGGGTAGGGTCCCGCTCTCGGCTCTTCTCTGTTGTTGGTCTCAGAGGCCTCCACTCCTATCCTGGAGAATCAATCACTCCCTTCCTTGTTACAAAACTTCTACCTTTGCATTTCCAACCCTCATAATCAGTCCTGATAAGCATTATTCACTGCAGTATCATGAGTTACCCATCTGTATCTCCTTTCATCAGCTCCGCCCAGACAGATTGAATAATACCTACTGGAGATTCTGCCTTCCTCCATGCTCCCTAGCACTAGGTTCCCTCTTAAAAACTTGTAAGCCAGTCACTTCTTGCCTTTGAAGTCCCCCCCTCCCCATTTGAGTACCCAATGTCCAAGCTGCCCTTCTCTGTCCACTCTGTGTGTGTGTGGGAGTGTGACTTTTTCTTGCTGTGAGGATTTGTTCCCTCTTTTGAGTTGCTGCTCCATAGGTATAGTTCCAAGTTCCTCAGACTTTATCAGCTTACTTTCCCCCTCCTCCCCCGCTTCTTTCCTCTCCTGGTTGAGCTCCAATCATCCAGTAATCCAGTCCATGTCACGTGGGTATAATCTGCAAGTGTGGGCGCACCTGTACATATGTCCTCTCTTCCCGTCAGCCGGTAGCTCCACTCTCCTCTCGAGTCCTCCGTGGCCACACCACTGTCTCTGGGCACAAGAGTCCCCAGGCCTCTTCACACTGCTTGCCAACCCAGTCCCCAACTGGGTCCACAGAAGTCCACTGAACATTGTAGGGTTTAGCTTGCCGCTTCATTGCTGCCTTTACCCCACTTCCCCCCATCGGCGATGTGTGTGGTCACCAATAGAGCGTGCATTTCCGTTGAGTCTTAGTCTTGGAAGGGGGTTTTCTAGGGAAGCGATTTGTTTGTTGCATGGTAACTTTTTGTACATAGTAAAAGTTTATATTTTAAAATTTATTTATACTAGGTATTTAGAAATGAGTTTAGGAAGATAATTTCCTAATCCAAGGAAAACCTGACATATAAATTTAGAGACTGTGTAATGATAGGATTAGAATGCTAGATTGTTGTTAATATGCCGTCAAGTCGGTTGAACTTATAGCAACCCTGTATAGGGTTTCCAAGGAGCAACTGGTGAGTTTGAACCGCCGACCTTGTGGTTCAAACTGACCTTATGGTCGAGTGCTTATGGTGCAGTACCGCACCAGGTCTCCAGAATGCTAGATTAAAAGTTAGATTAGTTGTTTTTAGGAGTTCTTAATAATGAGCTATTGTAAGAAAATTCTGTTTTTCTAGTATTTTTCAAGACAGTTTCTACGTTTTTTGTATGGTTTTCATTATATGAGTTACTCCTACTTTTGTTTCTTTTCATGTTATTGCAACTTTTAAATTTCTAGTAAACAGCCAAAAAATATATTTTTAACGGCTGTGCATATTATCGATAGGAAGTTATATTAAAGAAATTATACATACTCATGAATAATTAAGCATGGTGGGAAAATTTAGATTTATTTGGGAGTATCCATAATGCTGCTTTAAAATAAGAAATTACCAGGTTTAGTTTTCCAAGGAATGATGTTTTGTGTTTCGGTGTGATGTGTAATGATTACTGTGCTTACATTCTTTCTTTTTGCAAAAAGTATACTTAACATAATCTAAAAAGGGCGTTATAGGTAACAAGTAAAATGCTAGTGTACTCATTTGATTTAAATTCTTCATTCTGATTTTCTAGGTTCAGTTAACACTGTACGCTTATCTTTCCACGGAATTCATTGGTACAGTCAATATATACAATGCCATTCGGAGAGTTGGAACAGTGCTTCTCATCACTCACACATTGAAGTACTACTATTGGGCAGTGAATCCTCTGGATCGAAGCGGTATCACCCCAAAAGGATTAGGTATATTATATTTGTCAATATGATATGTTATATGAGGGAGGTCCGAAACGTTAGTGGAAAACTCCATTCTCTTTTAATTAAATTTATCCACAGATTTTTTGTAGCCCCCTCTTATATATGGAACATTTGAATTTTTTTTTTCTTTTATGTTTTACCCAATAATTTTATTATGGAAGTTTTATATGCCATTGCAAAATTTAATTTTGCTGGTAATTTTTTTGTTTTAACTTTTGATTGTGAATTGAATGAAGGTTTACAGAGCAGATCATTAGTTTTGCATTCAACAGATCATGTACTTAACATTCATTTTTTTTTTTTGCACTTCATATGGTGGTGGTCATGAAGTGCCGGCGAGTAGGTTACATCTCATAGCAACCCTGTATAGGGTTTCCGAGGAACAGCTTATGGCTTTGACCTGACAATCTTGTGGTTCACAGACAAGTGCTGATCCCACAGTGCCTCACCAAAAGTCATTACATGATTGCAGTTCCTTCCATGTACCAATAATTAGCATCATTTACCTCTGTTCACTTTAACCATTGTATTCCTTCTTGTGGTTCCAGCTACCTTCACCTTTCCTTTGCTAACCTACCTATTGTTGTTTATTGCCTGTTGTCACCCATTTAACATGTGTCTACCCTCTAGCCCATCAATAATTTACTGCCTTCCTCCAATAACTGTCATAGATTGTTTCTTTTATCAAGAAAACCTTTTTAAAGCTTTTACAACATTGGTCTCATACAATGTCCTTTTTTTTTTTAATCTTAGAATTTTATTTATTTTTTTTTTTTAATTTAAGGTTTTTATTGTGGATTGAGTGAAGTTTACAGGGTACATCATCAGTTTCACATTCAACAATTCATATAACTTGTTTCATTACATTGATTATAATCCCCTCCATATACCATCAGTTAAAAGTATTTCTCCCTATCTACTTTAGCTTCTTTAAAAAAAAACAAAAACAAAAAAACCCACTCAGGCATATATAATAATTTACATCTCCAAAGGGCACATTCTGCAAATCTGCTCCTGGCCACCAGTTCTTAGTCCTTCTCTTCTTGGTTGATGAATCTAGAGTCCTCAAGCCGTTCCCCCTTTCCATGCCCCCATCTCTGCCTCCATCCCTGGCACTGCTGCTTCTCTGGATAAGGTCCCACATTCTATTTATGCATTCCTCTCTTGATGGTCCTAGGGTCCTCTGTTTCTGGACTGTAAGATTAACCACTCCCCTTTTTTTGTTACAAAACTTATACCTTTACAAGTGTGACAGTTGCGATTAGTCATGATAACAGTTATTCACTATTGAATCTTACTAATCTTATCCCCATCTCCTTTCACCAGACCCATCTAGACAAGATGACACCTATTCAGTGGGGTCTCTTTCTTTCCCCCACCCTCTTAAACTAAGCTCCCTCTTGAAACCTTGTAAGCCAGTCACTTCGTGCCTTTATTGTCCCCTCATTTTAGATAGCCAATGTCTAAGTTGCCCGTCCTTATCTACCCTGTGCACAGAGCGGATAGCATTGATACTTGATTTGAAGACTCTTTCCCTCTCTGTTGGTATTTAGAGTAACTAGCGCTCTGAGTATAGGTCAGGTTCATCATGAAGATGTATCTTCTGTCACTGTAGCTGTTCCAGTCAGCTTGTCCTTTCTAGTGGGAATGTCTCACCTCACAAGGTTGTGGATGGGACTCAGGGTTCCACCTAAGGTCCTATACTTTATAAAGGCTTTGCATTAGGCCTATTTCACTGGGCAGTGTTTGTCCTTTTTGTGATTAACTAATGTGTCTCTGCATAATGTCCTCCCAGGTTAACCATGTTGTAAGGTTTGTTTTATAGATTCATCATTATTCTTCAATGTTTTGTAGTATTCCATTTTGTGTATGTACCAAACTTTGTTTAACCATTCTTCTTTTTATGGGTATTTACGCTGCCTCCATCTTTTTTATATGTCTCTTGTAGACAGAATATTGAAGGATCCTATTTTCTTACCATTTCTGCTCTTTGTCTCTTGACTGGTACAGTTAATCCATTCTGCATTCAGTGTAATTATCAATAGATATGAATTGTTGTCATTTTTCTCTGTGTGTGTGGTGCTGCTGCATTCCTTGCTTTACATAATTTTCTATGATGAGTTCTTTTTGTTTGTTCATTTTCCTTCCATTTTTTTTTTCCTGTTGTGTTAATGTTTAATCCTTGTCTCCTTTTTTATTTTGCTGTGAAGGTGTATTATTTTTCTATGAGGTTACCCTGTAATTTATTTAATTTTTCCATGATTAAAACATTTATCTTTATTCACTTTAACTATTTCATTCTTCCCTGTACCTCCCACTACCTACATCTTTCCTGTGCTAACCTTCCTGTTGTGTATTGACTGCCTTGTCACCCATGTTAACATGTGTCTACCCTCTAGCCTATGAATAATTTTTCTTCCACCCCTACCCCTGTAACTATCATAGATTGTTTCTTTTATCAATAAAACTTAAAAAAAATTTATAACATTGGTCTTATGCAATATTTATATATTTCACTCAATGTAATGTTTTCCAGGTTCAACCATATTATGAGTTATATTTAAGGGATTACTTTGCTGGGTGTATATTTCTTGGTTGATAATCTTTTTCTTTCAGAGTTTTGTATATATCATCCCATTGCAACCTTGCCTGCATCATTTCTGCTGAGAAATCAGAAGTTAAAGTCTTACTAGTTTTCCTTTGTAGATAACTTCTCATATGTCTCAAGCTGCTCTTATGGTACTTTCCTTGTGTTTGTTTATGATATGCCTCTATTGTTTTCTTTTGGGATCTGTCATGTTTGGTATTCTTTCAGCTTCTTATTTGCTTATCTTCTCATCTTTCATGATGTTAGGGAAGTTTTCTTCCAACAAGTCTTCCACAAAATTCTCTGTGCTTTTATTTTTGTATTCTGGAATCCCAAGCATCCTTAAGTTGCTCCTTTTCATGGTGTCCACATAGCTCTTAGGATTTCTTTGGATTTTTTCATTGTTTTCCAGCATACTAGTATTGAGAGATTTATCTGTCTTCAAGCTCACTAATTTGGGCTTCCATTGGTTTGCATCTACCCGTATGTCCTTTCAATGTATTGTCTGTTTCGCAGATCTTAATATAAATCTTCTGTTTGCAGGTTTTGTGTTGTTCCAAATTTGCATTTATTCTGTTTGTAATTACAGTTTTTCTGATTCTTTTTAAGTTATTATTGTGTTCTCTTTGCTTTCCTTAATCTTCCTATGGGTCTTTTGAAGGTACCTAATTAACATTCTTTTGAATTCTTTCTCATTTAGTTCCATTACCTTTTCTCTTTCAGAAATGTTTTCTGTATGTGCATATTGATTATTTGTTTGAGCCATTGTCTCTTGTTTCTTTTTGTGAGCTAAAATTGTCTGTTTTTTTCCAGGGCATTATTGGAGTTGAGTTTGTAAAAACAGTTCAATTGTTGGATCTGGAGGGGAGAGATCTCTGTTCATAGAGCTCATGAGGTGGTTGTGGGAGGGATGTGACAGCCAGGTTCCTGGACCTAGATAGAGTTCCTCCTTGCCTTGGTCTTATGGATGGAGTTCCTCCTTGCCTTGGTATTATGTATATTCAGAGCAGTTAATCCAAAGTAGTTCTTGGGGGCCTTTGACATGGAGCTGGTTTCAGTGTCTGTTAGGATCACAGGGAAGCTGGGAGCAGTATGAGTGGTTAAATGCTAGTCTGATGACTCTGTAGGCTTAGTAGATCTGAAACGAAGCCCACCTGAATCCAGGCATCAAAGCAGCATCCCAAATAGTGTGTCCAGCCCCTGACTCACACTGGTGTGGCTCCCAACCACGTGGCTCTGTACTCTTGGAGTATAGGGGGTGGATGAGTGTGGGAGACAGCCACACCTCTGGTCATTTAAGGAGCATCAAGAAAAAGAAGGAACTGCATCTTTCCCGTTGCCCAGGAGAATCCACTGTGCCAGGCCATTGCTGCTCACAAGATGGTAGAGCCAGGTCTGGCTAGCCGAGCACCAGTCAGTCTCCCTCTGTCACCATCCCTGCTCTGCTCCTCTCCTCAAGAATTCCATCCACCTCTCTATCCTTTCTTTTTTAGTTCAAGGTGCCAGAATTTTCATCTTTTGTTTTTTTTTTTTTTTGTGTGTGTGTGTGTCTTGTGTCTTTGTGGTAGAGGGTCCATGTACTGTCTTTCATCATCCCGAAAGTCCTTTTGCTGATCATTTTATGAATTTGTTTTAAATTTTGGTTGATAGAGATTAATAGCTTGCCACAAGCATATGTCATTTTATTGTACTAGGCTTCACAGATACTCTGTTTTGTTTTGTTTACAGATTTATGGTTTGTGACAACCCTTCGTTAAGTCAGTTGGTGCCATTTCTCCAACAGCATGTGCTCACTTCATGTCTCTGTGTCACATTTTATTAATTCTCACAATATTTCAAAATGTTAATAATTCTATTGCACACAATAACGGATTATAGTGCAGTGTTTTATTATATCCACAGACACACAAATGACTCCTGGCTTGGGGCTGTAGGATAAGCACTGAACTGCTGTTCACAAGATTGGCAGTTCAAACTCACCAAGTGTTCCTCAGAAGCCCTATACTGGGTTGCTATGAATCATAACCAGTTTGATGGCACTTAACAAAATTAACAGTACAATGTAAATACCACTTTTAATACACATTGGGAAACCAAAAAATTTGTATGACTTGCATTACTGTGGTTTTTATTTTATTGTTGTGGTCTAGAACCAAACCCATAATATCTCTTAAGTATGTGTGCATTTTTATGGGAGAATGTTTTTTGTTATGGTATGAATTGTTTGTGGAGCAAGTATCACTGGGATACGTGTTTTAAGATGCTGAATTTATAACAAAATTTAAATTAACTACTAGTGTTGATGCCGAGAACATTTTTCACAATAAGATTCATTGCAGATAGTTTTCCAGATATACTCGATTTTTAGGGCAATGGAGGTATCTAAAATTCCAAAATTATATTACTGCATAATTAGGACTGATTTAACTGAAGAATACTATGTACTTATCAGTTTCACAGTTTTGAAATGGTCAAATAATTTTGCCAAAAGTGTCTCTTTGGGTTGTATGTACAAAGGGACTTAAAATATTTCATGGAATAATTCCATTACCTTTTAATTCCATTTCACATGAACTTTTTGAAGCCCCCCCTCCACCCACCACCACCACTCCCAGCACCTCTATATTACAAAACCTTTGTCAACGTGGCTTAAATTAAAAATGGGAGTTATTTAGCTCATATGAGTATAAGTTGTTAATTTTAGGTACAGTTGGAAACAGTGCTTCAGATGATAGCCCTAGCATTAAGTTTGTTTCTTCTTTCATTTTCTCTTTTATGCTGTTTGTTTTCACATATTCTCTTCCTTTGTATAGGCAACAGCTCCAACTTAATATCCTCACATTAGAAGAGCATCTACCTCTTTGAAGCATTTTAAGCAATGACTTGTAACACATAGGCTCTAAGTAAATCCTGCCTTGGTGAAAATTCAGTGTGGAGGCTTAAAATCAGGAACTAGATGCCGGAGAATCAAACAGTGTATGTCTGAGTGTTGTTGAAGATTTCGGCTGTTCAGTGATTTGTGAAGACAAAATTTCTTATTTTTGTACTATTTTTTATTTCACTTTGCAATAACACTTCTTTCAGAGAATATGGTAGCTATATGCATAAAACTGTTTAAATTGACAATGAACTCTTTAAATTGACAATGTTGTGGCAGATCTAGATGCAGATCAGAATTTCCTGATGATGACATCTTTTTCTGCAGGTAGATCATGTCCTGTTTTGGATGCTAGTTTTGTATTTTGTTCTTGATTTTATAACTGAGTGGTGACTTTTTGAAAGTCTTGTCCTTTATGTGAGAGAGCTGGATAGACTTTGTGATTCTGTTCCAACTCTGTACCCTACTCATTGCCCAGGAATCATCATGTGGAATTAATTTTAAACTATTTTCTTCCTATTCTAATTGATCTGTTCAAGGTCATGGTGGTCCTATGCCTTGGTGGTCTTTAGAACTAGCTGTAAATAGTGATTAGTGGGAGAAAAATTGTAGAATATGTGAGGCAAACAGGTACTGCATTTAGGATCTTAAAACAATGGGTGTTTAGTTTCAAAAGCTTTCTACTTGGGAATTATGTGTTGGAGACATGAAAATTGACTTAATGTGAGCCATGTGTTACCAGGGAGTTTTTCAAGAGGAGGAGGTGATGTTAAAGATAGTCAACAAAATGATTCCCTTTTTCAGGAATGGTACTGTGTGGCTAGGTGTGCTTTTGAGATTTTTATATTATCTTACACAGTGGTACAGTACAAAAAAGTTCTTTTCATTCTCAATTCACATATAACATCGGTATTAAAGTTCAGATTTTCCTTTGCTAACCCAATGTTGTCATAATGATAATCTCCAAGAACCTTTAAATACTGTTTTTCTTATTATGTTTTATTTGTAACCTCATTTTTATGTTTTAGAAATTCTTTTCCCTTTTCAGTGAACAAACTTCTTTATTGTAATTTCAACATAAAATATCTTGTACATATGGAGGATTCCATATGCAGTTAATTGCATGTGAGATTCTATGCTTGACTTTCTAGAGGCATAAAAGGGAGGTCACTCTATTCAAGACTGACCTTTACATTTCTTATAATAAATGGTAAAAAATATTACGATTACTAAACAGATTTGATATCTTTGAAATACTGAGTTTTTCTTTGTATGCATGTTTGTGTTTTTGTTAAAGATGGACCACGACCTAATGAGAAAGAAATACTTTCTTTACGCGAGTTCTTATTGATGTTCATTAAGCAATTAGTGACAAAGGTAAGTCCACATTGTTTATCATGTAGCATGCTGTGTACTGTAATTCATAATTTCACATAAAATGCAGTCTTGATTTATTTACTCTTTGCTCTGTTATGAGAATGTGTATGGGACGATCCTTTGAAATATACTTGTTCATTTATTTTCCTTACTGTTCTCAAACGTGGCAACATTAGTGAGGTTGGCCCAGGATCGGACAGTATTTCGTTCTGCTGTGCATAAGGTCACTATGGGTCGGTACCGATTCGATGGCACCTAACAACAACAAGTGAATAAAAATCATTAGAGTTGAAGACTAATAATTGTAATATATGGATTATGTTGGAGAACAAATATATTCATTCTTATATTCAGCAAACATTTATTGAGTGCTATTATGCACCAGGCACTATTCTTGATTCTGGTAGTATCGGAGCCAACAAAGCTCCCCAAGGAGCTTACATTTTAGGGGACTTCTTATTCCTGACATTAAGATTAAGAGAAATCACATTCTTGTATAAATATACCTGATAAGTGTGTCAGCTTTTGTCAATAATCATATTTTGTCCCTTTGTATTCTTTTATATATGAAGTAAAATTTAGTATTCTTCTTGGTTTTATAAGATAGTAACATGTAATTTAGAGTCCTGGTGTTGTGCTGCAGGATAATGCACTGTACCGCAAAGTCAATTTAAACCACAAGGCTGGTGGTTCAAACTCACCAGCCTTTCCTTGGAAACCCTATGAGTTGGAACTGACTCAGTGGCACTTAACAACAACAAAAACAACAATATATAAATCTATTTGCTGCCAATATTTTACTTAGAATGTTCCTGTTTTATCTCTTATTGTTTGTGATGTGATCCTGTGCTGTCACATAATACTATTTCAACAGCACCTTTTAGTATATCTTTCCGATTCAGATACCTTTTCTCACTTATAATTTTTTTTCCTTTGATTATCTCTATTACTAGATCCTTTCTAAGGATGTATTTATTTTTCACTTTGGTGTCTTCTCTTTCTTTTTGTTATTTTTTGAGATTGAGGCTTTTTCTTGGTAGCTTAACTTGATAATTAAAATAACTGATTATTCTTGGAATTCAATGTTAAGTTGAAAAATTGCCATCTGAAATTAGAGGAGTGATAGGTTGAAAATACTTTTATTTGTCGTTAGGTAGTGTTGCTGATTTCAGAATTTTGCAGATTTACTAGACATTAATACCATTGTTGTTGTGAAGTGCTGTCGAGTCACTTCTGACACACAGCAACCCTGTATAAGGTTTCCTAGGAGCAGCTGGTGAGCTTGAACTGCCAACCTTGCAAGTTCAAATGGCTTTGCATTCTGGCACATTAACCCACAGTACCACACCAGGACTCCATTTATGTTAAAACATGGTACTGATGTCTTACCTCTTTTGACTACTTTGTTGTTGTTAGGTGCCATCGAGTCGGTACTGACTCTTAGTGACCTTATGCACAGTAGAACGAAACACTGCTCGATCCTGGGCCAACCTCACTATTGCTGCCACGCTTGAGCCCATTGATGCTGCCACTTTGCCAATCCATCTCGCTACTACACTGTCTTATATAATGCACGCCATTGGGTCCCCACATTTAAAATTTAGATTCTATATGTTTCATTATCTCTTCATATTTATAGCAGCTGATCAACTTGATAAATCTATATGTACAGTTTCAGTTTTTACAAAATAGTTTTTTATGTGTAAACATATAATATGTGTATTATGTTTTTAAAGGATTCTGGAGTAAAGGAAGATGAACTACAAGCCATTCTTAATTATTTACTCACTATGCATGAGGTAACATTTGAATTTAATATTTTGGGTTTTTATTCTTTGAAGATACACTTTTAAACTTTGTTTTAAAGTTAAAAAAATTAATCTTCGTTAGTGATGTGTCTGTAATCATCATAAATTTGTCTACTACTAAATCGTAGCAACTGTCTTTGAAATAATATCCTTTATTACCACCAGATGGCTCTGCATTGAGCATAATCATGAAAGATTTTTGAATGTGTTAAATAAATGTCACTCAATAGTATTGTATACCAAACATGGAGTCCTGGTGTGGTGCTATAGAATAAGCACCAGATTGTTAGCTACAAGGTGGTGGCTCAAGCCACCAGCTACTCCTCAGAAACCCTATACTGTCTTGCAGAGTCGGAACTGACTTGATGGCACTTAGCATCACCACCACCAAGCAAAACAAAGTAGATTTCCAAGGGCTATGTTATTAAAGGGATAAAAAATAATAAAAATGATTGGTCTTAAAAATTCATAACAAAATCTTCCCACTGGTTTTCATGTCAAAATACTATCAATTTTAATAACTCATTCTTAATAGCATATAAAATTATGCAATTGAAAGACTGACAGAAAGTCTGTTGAAATGAATGCGTGTGTGTTCAAGAAAAGGTATTAACATGTCAAATTCAGTTTGACTTTGTAGTCTGATTAAATACATTATAAATGTTTAGAAATTAGTGGAATTTCATGTAAAATATAACATATTAATGATAATTTACATTCTTATAATTTCTTAAGAATTCGTAAATATCTATTGTACTATGTAATAGTACCTTCTTTCATCACTGAAATGAGAGGTGATCTTCATGTTGATTTTTCTTACTTGGGGTAGAAAAGAATGGATACATTTCTTGATTGTATCATTTTCCGCATTTGAATAAAGTATTTGGTATTTATTTTTGATTTTTCTGTCATAATATAGTATTTGATGATTTATGAATTGAATTTTCTGAGAACCTATTATTATCTTTTTGTTTTCTTATTAACCCTACATGGCCAAAATATGTTACAAGAAATGAGCTGGATTTCACAATTATCCGTTTCTTCCCTGTGATTCTGCTCTTTCAGGGGTTTTGCGTGCCCTCCAAAATACTACTCCCCCAAAGGCTCAGTCTCCTAGCTCTAGTTCATGTACTTAGTTTATTAATAATTACATATTCAAATAGCTTTCATAGCAGAATATGAACACTGTGAAAGACAAAAAAGAGGCAGGGCAACAGAGATAGCTCTCTCTTGATATCCTGGGTCAGTGTTGCCCCATATTTGACTTAATGTTTTCCATGTACTCATATATTCCACAAAGACTGTGTAGATTTTCTTAAAGAGTTGTATGTGTTGTGTGTCATCAAATTGTTTCGTTTACGAAGTCTAATGGTAACAAAAAGCATCAGGTTTGCTTTTCTCCAATTCTTGATGCATTCATAAATATTCTTCAAAAAACTACTATTTAGTAGAGTGTATATTACGAAATCTTGACTAAGTACAAGGGAAAAATTCCATCATATTAATTTTGAAAAAAAATTTTTTTGTGAATTGTGTGACGGTTTACAGGCAAAATCATCAGCTCTACCTTAAGTAAACCATACAAGTTGTTTCATCTCAATGAACTCCTGTAGTATAGTGTAGAATTTTGTTTATTTTATTAAGAATTTACTATGTAAATAATCTATATCTTAGTAAGGAGTCCTGGTGGCATAATGGGTTACACATTGGGCTGCTAACCGCAAGGACAGCAGTTTGAATGACCTGTCCCTCCAAGGGAGAAAGAGGAGGCTTAATGGTCTCTATGAGTTGGAATTGACTTGATGGTTGTGGGTTAGGTTTTTGGTTTTGGTTTATCATAGTCAAAGAGTCCCCACCATTCGTCTTATTAGTCAGTCATACTATGGTGTGGTGGCTTGTGTGTTACTGTGATTCAAGATGCTATGCCACTAATATTTTAAATACCAGGAGGGTCACCCAGGGTAGACTGGTTTCAACAGAGCTTCTAGTCTAAGACAGATTATGACATAGGAGAGATGGACTGCTTCTGGATGGTTAGTCATTAAAAACCTTATGAAGAACAGTGAAACATTGTCAGATATAATGCTGGAGGATTAAAACGTGAATAGCACATGAACATTGTCAGGTATTGTGCCATAATGTTAAACTGTCAGGTTGGAAGACACTCACTCAAATGCGACTGGGGAAGAGCTGCTCCCTCAAAGAAGAATTGACTGCAATGATGTGAATGGAGTAAAGCTTTCAAAACCTTTTTCTGCTGATGGGACACAACTCAAAACAAGGACAAACATCTGTAAGCATCCCTTAGTAATCATATCATGGAATGTACAAAGTAGGAATGTAGGAAAATTAGTAGTTGTCAGCAATGAAATGGAACAAAGAAAGATATATCCTAGGTATTAGTCATCTAAAAGGGACTGTCATTGGCCATTTTGGGTCTGACAATCATATGGTTTACTATGCTGAGAACAACAAATTAAAGAGGTATGGTGTAGCATTCATCATCAAAAAGAACATTTCAAAATCTATCTAGAAGTATAATGTTGTCTGTGATAGGATAACATCCATATGATTAAGGAAAACCAGTTCCTACTACTACTACTAAAATTTATGCACTAACCACTAAAAGCAATGATGATCAAATTGAAGAATTCTGCCAACTTCTGTCTGAAATTGATCAAACTTGCAGTCAAGATGTATTGATAATTACTAGTGATTGAAATGTGAAGGTTGAAAACAAGGGGAAAGGAAAAGTAGTTAGAAATATGGCCTTGGTAGAAATGATAGTAGAGATTGCATGATAGAATTTTGCAACCCTCGTGACTTCTTCATTGTAAATATAACAACAAAAAATAAGGCAAGGGACCGACTGTGGAAAAGGAACATCATCAGTTACTTATATGCAGCTTTAGTGAGAGCCAAATATATAACCTTGAATGTATCTCACCTGAATTTAGAGAACATCTTAAGAATAACTTTGATTGGGGGAGCCAACAAGGCAAGCAATCAAGTCCCTTAAGTACAAACTACACTCCATGACTGAAACTCAAAGGGAACACATGAGCAGGCATGTAAGCTTGCTGATGACCACATTGGTCTACAGGTGAGTGAAAGAGGGGGGAAGGCAGCAATGATGAAATGGGCTGAATTCAACCACATTCCATTGAATCTCGTTGACCTGGCCTTGGTAGAAATGATCATAGAGAATGTATGATAGAATTTTGTAACACTAGTGACTTTTTCATTGCAAATACCTTTTATAAACATAAGGGACAAACTACACTCCAAGACTGGAACTCAAAGGGAACACATGTGCAGACATGTAAGTTTGCTGGTGACCTCATTGATCTGAATGTGAGTGGAAGTCGGGGAAAGGCAGTAATGAAGTTAATGGACTGAGGTTGCCACTTTCATAGACTCCTGTCGACCTTAAGATAAGAGAGAGGAGGACTGGTTGGTTCAAAGTTTGGGGAGACTTGGGAACTCCTGAGCCCATGGACACTGCCGTAACTATGGAGGGCTAGAGCTGAGAGTGAAGCGTCCAGCTTATATGAAGTGGGAGGAGATGCACAAGAATGCCCAAACTTGCAGATAGTACCCTTTGACTTAGTTTTGAAGGCCTGATGATCAGAGCTCGAGTAGAGGAAGATAAAGAAATTTGATAAAGGAAGCACGTTTAAATTGCTACAGTTTAATGAGCTTGACTTATACTTATGGATGTAGTAGCTCAAAATACCAACTGAGAGGGAAGAAGTCTTCACATCAAGGATCAATCCTGTCCTCTTTGTATACAAAGTTGATAGGGATGGGCAAATTAGACATTGGCTACCTAAAATGGGGGGCTATAAAGGCACGAAGTAGCTGGCTTACAACTTTTCAAGAGGGAGTTTAGTTTTAGAGTGTGCAGGGGAAGGTAAAATCCCCACCAAATAATTTTCATCTTGTCTGGATGGGTCTGGTCTAAGGAGATGGGGATAGGTCTCTTTTGATTCAATAGTAATTGTTATCATGAATAATTTGCAATTGTCTCAATTATAAAGGTAGAAGTTGTGTAACAAAAAGGGGGGAGTATTAATCTTACATTCCAGGAACAGAGGACCCTAGGACCAGCAAGAATGTAGAGCATGAGCAGAACTTTATATGGTACCCTTACCAGAGAAGCAGCGACACCAGAGATGGAGGCAGGGTGAAGGCATGGGGAGAGATAGAGGAACTGAGGACTCTTAGACTCATCAGAATAATGTGCTGATGGGCAGGAGACTGACTTGCAGAATGTGCCCTTTGTTTAAATGATTATATATTCCTGAGTGCTTTTGTGTACATCCAAAAAACAAAGCAAAACAGAGGGAAGAGAAGCAAATGCTGTTGAATGATGATGCATGGAGGGGATTGTAATCATTGCAGTGAAACAAAATATCCTGTTGGTTTTGAGTGCAAAACCAATGTTCTCCCATATAAACTACCACTCAGTTCACAATTGTTGTTTTTAAGTGCTGTTGAGTCATTGCCGACCCAACAGCGACTCCTGTGTAGGGTTTCCAAGGAGCGGCTGGTGAGCTTGAACCACCAAACTTGTGGTTCAAATGACTTTGCAGCCCAGAGCAGTAGCCCACAGTGCTACACCAGGACTCCATCATTCACATAAAAGCTTTAAAAAGAAAAGAAACCAGCAGGAAAAATAAAAAAACAAAAATGGCAGTCTGATTGCTACTACAAAAACGAATTGTTAGCAGGTGAGCCATCAAGACAAGCAATCAAGTCCCTTCAGGACAAATCCCCTTCCAAGACTGAAATGCAAAGGGAATATATGATCAGGCACGTAATCTTGCTGGTAACCACATTGGTCTACTGATGAGGGGAAGTGGGGAAGAAGCAACAATGAAGATGTGGACTGAGTCTGACCATGTTTAATAGATCCCCATCAACCTGTAGTGAGACCTGGTTGGCCAGCAGTGTGGTGAGACCTGGGGATTCCTGAGCCCATGGACAGGGAGTTAACCACAGAGGGCTAGAGCGGAGAGTGAAGCATCCAGCTTATACAGAGTGAGAGGAGGTGCATAATGACGCCCATACTTGCAGATAGTACCCATTTGACCTAGCTTCAATGCTGGATGATCAGAACTCAACTAGAAGAATAAAGAAGAGGAAGAAAAGTGTAATACACTACAGTTTGATTAACTTGACCTATACATGTAGATATAGTAGCTTAAAAGAGGAAAGGAATCTTCGCAGCAAGGATTATTCCCACACCATCTGTACAAAGGGCTGACAGGGATGGGCAACTTAGACATTGGCTACCTCAAATGGGAGGCTATAAAGGCACAAAGTAACTGGCTTATAAGTTTTCAAGAGGTAAGTTAGTTCCAGAGGGTGAAGGGGAAAGTTGGCTCTCTACTGAGTGGTTTTCACCCTGTCTAGATGGGGCTGGTGAAAGGAGATGGGATAAGACTCTTGTGGTTCAGTAGTGAATCATTGTTATCAGGACTGATTGTGATTGTTGCAAATATAAAGGTAAGCATTTTGTAACAAGAGGGGAGTGGTTGATCTCTCAGTCCAGGAGTGGAGGACCCTGGGGCCATCAAGGGAGAAGAGCGGAGTGTGGGATCCTATCCAGTGAAGCAGTGATGCCAGAGATGGAGGCAAAGATGAAGATGTGGAGGGAGGGAGTGGATGGGGATTCTAGACTCAGAAGGAGAGTGGCTGTGTGCTGGTAGCCAAGTGGTGGGCTTGCAGGGTATGCCCTTTGGGCATTTGAATGATTGTATATTCCTGAGTGTTGTGTACCCCCTCTCCCCCCAAACAAACAGGGAATAGAAACAAATACTGTTGAATGATGATGCATGGAAGAGATTGTAATTATTGCAATGAAACTAAATACGATAGGATGAGTGTAAAGCTGATGGTCTCTCATGTAAAGGATCACTCAATTCATAATAAAAATGTAAACAATAGATTTGATGAATTAGACACTAATGATTACAGACTGAAAGCGCTGTGGGATGACATCAGCAACATCATACTGAGAGAAAACAAGAGGTCATTTAAAAGACAGGCAAGAAAGAAGAGAACAAAGTGGATTTCAGACAAGACTTTGTAAGTTACTTTCCTGTGTCGAGATTTGGTGGTGGTGGCTATGTGCTGTGGAGTCAGTTCCGTCTCATAGCGACCCTGTACAGGGTTTCCGAGGCTGTAAATCTTTACGGAGCAGAAAGCCTCATCTTTCTCCTGTGGAACAGCTGGTAGTTTTGAACTGCTGACCTTGTGGTTTGCAGTCCGGTTCGTAACCACTGCGTTACCAGAGCTCCTTAGCTAGTGCAAAAAATTAGGACAGTGAAGAGCTGAATAGAAAATTTTGAATGCCTTTTTGAGAAGACAAAGTCAAGTATTATAGTGAACTGTGCAAAGACCTGGTGTTAGAAAACCAAAAGGAAGAACAGAAATTTTCGTTGTAAAAGAACTGAAAAAACAAAAACAAAAACAAAACCAAGTCTCGAGTTGTAATGCTGAAGGTTTTCTATGGGTAAAATATTGAGTGCTACAGAAAACATCAAAAGAAGATGGAAAGAATACACAGAGTCACAGAACCAAAAATAAATGTTCAAAGAATTGAAGAGGTAGCATGTGATCAAGAACTGATGGTATTGAAGGAAGAAGTCTAAGCTGCACTGGAGGCATTGACAAAAAACAACGCTCCAGGAATTGATGGACTAGAAGCAGAAATATTTCAACAAACTGATGCAGCACTGTGGTGCTTATATCAAAAAAATTGAAAGAAAGCTACTCAGCAAGCTGATTGGAAGAGATCCATGTTTGTGTCCATTTCAAGGAGAGGTGATCCAACTGAATAGGAAATCTTCAAACAATATCATTAATATAATATGCAAGTAAAATTTTGCTGTTGAAAATTTAAAAATGGCTGCTACAGTATATCAACAGGAACTGCCAGAAATTCAAGCCTTTTTCAGAAGAGGACTTGGAACAAAGGATCTAATTTCTGACCTCAGATGGACGTCGACTAAAAGTGGAGAATACCAGAAAGATGATTACTTATCCTTAATTGATTATATTCAGAGACAGCCATCTGTGTGGATCATGGCAAGCTGTGGATCACATTGCGAATAATGTATCTTCCAGATTATTTAATTGTGCTCATAAGGAGCCTGCCTATCGACTAAGAAACAGTTCACACAGAATAAGGGGATACTGAATGGTTTAAAATCAGAAATGTTGCATACCACGGTTGTATTCTTATACCATACTTAGTATGTATGCTGAGCAAATAATCATAGAAACTTAATTATATGAAGATAAGCATGTCATCTAATGAGAAGACTCATTAACAACCTGAGATAGGCAGATAATACAGCCTTGCTCACTTGAAAGCGAAGAGGTGTTAATATACTAATGAAGATCAAAAATCATAGCCTTTAGTATGGATTACAGCTGAATGAAAAGAAACAAACACTTTACAACTAAACCAATACAAAGTATCATGATAAATGGAGAAAAGATTGAAATTGTCAAAAGTAGCTAAAGTCAAGAAATTAGGCAAACTTGCTGCAGAAGAGCTCTTTAAAGTGCTCAAGAGCAAAGATTCAGTTTGAGGACTAAGGTGCATCTGACACAAGCCATAATATTTTCAGTTACCTAATTAGTATGTTAAAGTTGGACATTGGAAAAAGAGAACTGTAGGTGAATTATGCATTTGGCTTATGGTGTTGGAGAAGAATATATTTTGTATTATGCTGTTTTTGTTGTTGTTAGTTGCTGTCAAGTTGGTTCCATCTCATAGCAATCACGTATAACAGAATGAAACCGTACATGGTGTTTTGCTGTCCTCTCAGGTTTTGATGTATTTTAGGCCACTGTTGGAGCCATTGTGTTCAGAGTTTTGCTCATCCAGAGATGAGTAATTTGGATTGAATTATTATATGCATAAATATATGTTTGTAAACTGAATTCAGTTTGTTAAAATTAAGTATAGTATATATATTTATTTGTTTTAAGTTAAAATTCTTTTTTTTGAAAACTATTATATATTGAAATACAATATATATATATATATATATATTCTGTTTTTGAATTTCTAAAATAATTTCAGGATGACAATCTAATGGATGTCCTACAACTGCTTGTCGCATTGATGTCTGAACATCCAAATTCTATGATTCCTGCTTTTGACCAAAGGAATGGGTTGCGGTAAGAGTTTAATACATCAAATTTTAGTAAGATGAACTTGAAAATATGGGTAGATTCTTACATAAGAAAAATATCAATTGATGTGCTAGAATTTAAGACTCATTTAATGTATTTTCTATTTTGAATGAATTTATAATAATAAATAGTATTAGTATTTTTAAATTATAATATATTTTGATTGTTGTTGAAATTTTCACAGCCAAATGTATACCAGTTCAATAATTTGTACATGTGCTACTTGGTGACACACTTTACATTCTTCCAGCTATAGAACTATTGTCACCCTCCTTTTCCAAGCTGTTTCTTTTCAATTAACAGAAATTCACTGCCCTTTAAGTTTGTTGTCTTACCTTTTGAGTTGCTGTTGTCAAGTTGGTCCCTTATAGATAGATCTTGAAAGAGCAAAATGTTCAAGGTAGAAAAACATTGTTTACTAGTTAATTAAACTATTATTTGGTTTTAAGAAGACTTCAGGGGATTATTTTTGATTTAAGGTTTAAGATTTAAAGGTGAGCTCATAGCAATAATTTTAGGGTTTCATCCATCTTATATTGGATCTGTATTCTATGATAATTTGGAATTTTGTTTTGCATTTTCTCTCTTTGACCATGATTCTTCTATAGAATCGTTGATTAAAAAAAATAATTTAGTAATAGTAGCTGGACATGCAGTTCTTCTTGTCGTGGGGAAAAGGAGACAGTTGTTCATGGAGCCAGTTAGCCACACACTGTATTATTGTTTAATTGATGGAAAATGGTACATAAATCATTCATTGTTGTGTGGTGAATGCTACTGTAAAGTAATTGTAAGGCATGAATTCTTAAACAGAATTTATATTTAGGTCCTACAGTAGTAGCAATGTTTTTT